TGAGGTTGCCTCTCCATACCATCAAGCCTGGGCAGAACTGTAGACATCATTTGATGTGTACATCATTGCAATGATGGGAATTCCCAGGGAACTCCAGAGAATTTCCCAAATGAGGAGACAAGGTCAGAGGGCCAAGGAAACGAGAGACACAGGGGAAAACGCATGTCCTGAAGGTTCTGTGAGCAGGTGTATGGAAAAAGCGTGGAGATTGGAACAAACATTTTGAACGGAGAGACGAGGTAGAGTCAGTTGTGTTTTGACCGTGTGAGAGGTAGGTTGCTTGATGGTGTGATTGAGGTGAATGTATTGTGATCCGAAGGAACGTCATTTAGAAAGCTCGAATGTCTGAGGAGAATTGATTCTGAATGACCACGTCTAGTGTATGAGAACTTTTGTGTTATAGTGATTCAGATGCCAGTACCCGAGCGAATGGAACATTCTGACTGGCAGGTAACTGCACCAATTGTTTAACTGTCGTCCTGTCCTGAGCACGTGTCAGCGACTAGGGAGAACTGTGAACATCGATGGAATGACTTATCGTTGTGCCACAATAAACGATATCAACGTTATCATGGTGTTTTGAATGCACTATCATGTGTCAAGACTTTACAGCTTGACTGAGGCACGTATAATGTACAGGAAATAAAACGAGCCAACATCATCATCATCTATCAACAGGTCCTTTACAGCATGTCACTTTCGTCACGGCACACCTGAAAGTCCTTTCCTTCTCTAGCCAATTCTCCAGCCCTATGTACTTTCACAGCCAAAGCATCTTTAATGACCTGTATCCACATTTATGAAGGTCTGCCTCTGCCTCTTGTTACGGAAACTGTACCTTCCATTACAGTTCTCTCCAGGCCACCATGACGTTTAACAAGTCAGCTTTCATGACAGGATGCTGTTTATGAGCCAATTCTCCCCAATGCTCAGATCATGTGTTAGGCTTTTACAGCATGAAAATATAGACAGATAACATACAACTATAGTGCTCATTTGTTTCATCTACATACAAAACATCAGACTGTGCTTGTGGTAATTTGTATACACAACTTCAAACTGTGCTACTGGCAAATATGATTATACACATTAATTCAAACTGCGCTATTTACATTCATCAATGAGATACACATCAAACTTAAAATTGTAATGACAGTAAGATAATAACGCGCAACTTTATAATGATGACATGTCCTTACATAATAACTTTATAATAAAAACTGTGTCAAAATTGCATCTTCCTCTTCTTCTATTCATGTATATGTGTGTGTATGTATCTATGTATGCATGTATGTGTGATTGTATGTGAGTGCATATGTGTGACTGTGGGCTTATGTATGTATGCAAGTATGTGTGTGCATGTATGTAGGTGTCTGTATATGTGATTGTATATATGTGTGTGCATGCATGTGTAGGTGTGTATGTATGTCTATGTATGTATGTATGTATGCATTTGGATGTATGTAGGTATGTGTGTGTATCTATTATGTATATCTGTATATAAGTGTGTATGTGTATGTATGAGAATGTAAGAGTATGTGTACGTGTGTTTGAGTGTATATGATTGTGTATACATGATGTGTGTATGCATTATTCTATAATGTATATTTTTTTATTATAAACATTACATGCATTATTGATAATAGGCAGTGGTACTCTGAAAGAAGAGTGCTTATAAGGGCCAAATGCCAGACAGGTTTGCGTGCCCAATTTGTAACCTTTTGAAAATAAAGTTTGTTGGTTCATTCGTTTGTTTAGTCATCTTGTTCCCTGTCATTTGCTTTGGTAAAATAAATAGCTTTAGTTTTTAACCATCACAATTATGTGTCCTCGTTTATCAGATTTCCAAAACATTTTTATTTTAACAATAATTGCACTGAATCCACTAGGCTTTACACCTTCTAACTAGTCATCCACTGTGGGTGGCGGGCCAGTACAAATATCAGAACTCACAGACAAACAAACACACTTTCCAGTGGTCCAGAACAGGACTGAATGATTCTTGACAATCTTTACTAGATATAAATCAACATCCAGTCCACCTTTCTCCAGTCCCTACTCTGTAAAAAATATTCACAAGCCTGACTGCCAGAGTCTTCACATAAACCTGATGTACCAATAGCCTTCTTGGTTCGCATTCTGTTTTTTCTTCTTCTTCCTGTTTACCAGCTGTTAACTCCAGCGGAAAGTTCTGGCTGTTCATCCACAACTGGACATTTGTCTTGTTCCAGAACCTGAGTGTTATGTGCACATATGGTTCACAGACCTGACATATTTGTATGCACTGTTGGTTCCTTGCCTTTTAGGCAGATGCACTCCGACTTTGAAGGAAGCCCCCAGTTAACTCTTACGACATGCTTGTTGGAGAGGCAGGGGGTTTAATTCTTGTTTTCTCTACAAAGGGACCCTGGAACCCACACACAGATGGTTCACATTCAAACGCTTGTCCTTTCATGCAAGTAGCAACACATTAGCTGACTGGTTTGCACCCTCAGCTCTTTCTCGTCACCCCTTTGTTTTGATTCACTGCGGTCTTCCTCACTACACACAGCTGTGACAAACATGCCATTTGAGGCCTATTCATCAAATAGCCGTTTACTCTCCTTTCCTTCACTTATATACTGCATGCAGAGACATACATGATTTTCAGTTTAAAATTATTCACCCCTTCGTGTAATTATCATGTTGCTACCCATCACTATAATTCCAGACTATTAACCCGTGGTCACATCCTGTTTTTATCTCAGGTTTTCCTATCTCAAACAACAAGAATTTAAAACCTGCCCCAATTTATACTAATGAAGCAAAAATGCCAGCATTGGTTGGGACGTCTCTCTCCCATGGAAGATGGTCACATTCCAAAGGATCTCCTTATGATGAACTCGTAACAGGGATAAGACCTACAGGAAGGCCAAAGCTTTGTTAAGGACATAAGCAAACATGACTTGAAAGACATCAACACTGACACAAACACTTGGAAGAGATCAGCTGCAGACTGACTCCTTCAGCTTTCAGAGGCAGACCGTCTTCTTCTTCTTCTTCGCGTTCACCAGGAAACTGGCGGAAAGTTCTGGTTGTTTGTCCATTTCTGGACCACAGTCATGTTCCAGAACCTGAGTGTTGCTTGTGCATTCGTTTGACAGATCTGACTAATCTGTATGCAGACTGTTGGTTCCTTGCCTCTCAGGCAGATGCACTCCAACTTCGAAGTAAGCTCCCAATTAGTCGACTCTAACGACAAGCTTCTGGGTAGGCAGTGGATCTATTCTTGTTTTCCCCTAATAGGGCCCCGGAACCCACACGGGGAATGCAGACAGTAAAAGATGGACTGCCACTATCGGAAAGAGCCTCAGTGCAGCAAGCCATAGAGAGGAAACATTTGAGAGAAAATCAGCCACAGAATGATACAGCATCAACATATTATGTAGCAGAGACTTCCACTCCCACACTGGATTTTACAGTCATAGCAGACGTTTTTCCCCAAACCAGCAGCATAGCCATAGTCCCAAGGGCCTGACGGTTGCCTAACACTCTATATAAATTAAGTTTACTCTGACCTTCTGCAGTAATTCCTATATTCACCTCATTTATCTCTTTGACTTCTCCCTTGCTCTTTCCCCATCAAGTGTATCAGTTGTATTTATCCTCATATCAAGCCCAAAACATCTGCAATATCTTTATCTAATTTCCCGAATCTGTTTTTTTCTTGAATGATTACCTGTTTGTCTTTTCTGTTCATCCATAGTATTTACCATCAGTGCCCACAGTAACAAATCCTCTCAGGTGCCCACAGTAATAAACCCTCGTAGATGTCCACAGTAACAAACCCTCGTAGATGTCCACAGCAATTAACCCTCGTAGATGTCCACAGCAATTAACCCTCGTAGATGTCCACAGCAATTAACCCTCGTAGATGTCCACAGCAATTAACCCTCGTAGATGTCCACAGCAATTAACCCTCGTAGATGTCCACAGTAATAAACCCTCGTAGATGTCCACAGTAATAAACCCTCGTAGATGTCCACAGTAACACAACACCTCAGGTGCCCACAGTAATAAACCCTCGTAGATGTCCACAGTAACAAATCCTCTCAGGTGCCCACAGTAATAAACCCTCGTAGATGTCCACAGTAATAAACCCTCGTAGATGTCCACAGTAATAAACCCTCGTAGATGTCCACAGTAATAAACCCTCGTAGATGTCCACGGTAACAAACCATCTCAGATGCCCACAGTAACAAACCATCTCAGATGCCCACAGTAACAAACCATCTCAGATGCCCACAGTAACAAACCATCTCAGATGCCCACAGTAACAAACCATCTCAGATGCCCACAGTAACAAACCATCTCAGATGCCCACAGTAACAAACCATCCCAGATGCCCACAGTAACAAACCATCTCAGAGCCCACAGTAACAAACCATCTCAGGTGCCCACAGTAATAAACCACCTCAGATGCCCACAGTAACAAACCATCCCAGATGCCCACAGTAACAAACCATCCCAGGTGCCCACAGTAATAAACCACCTCAGATGCCCACAGTAACAAACCATCCCAGATGCCCACAGTAACAAACCATCTCAGGTGCCCACAGTAACAAACCATCTCAGATGCCCACAGTAACAAACCATCTCAGATGCCCACAGTAACAAACCATCCCAGATGCCCACAGTAATAAACCACCTCAGGTGCCCACAGTAACAAACCATCTCAGATGCCCACAGTAACAAACCATCTCAGATGCCCACAGTAACAAACCATCTCAGATGCCCACAGTAACAAACCATCTCAGATGCCCACAGTAACAAACCATCTCAGGTGCCCACAGTAATAAACCACCTCAGATGCCCACAGTAACAAACCATCCCAGATGCCCACAGTAACAAACCATCCCAGATGCCCACAGTAACAAACCATCCCAGATGCCCACAGTAACAAACCATCTCAGGTGCCCACAGTAACAAACCATCTCAGATGCTCACAGTAGCAAACCATCTCAGATGCCCATCTGCATGTCAGCAAAATTATAGAAGTTTTCAATCTGTGCTGTGGCAGCCTCGGGCGACTGACTGACAAACACCAGATCTGTGGTGCCTGTCATCATTTCCGTGACCAGTGCCTGGCTCAAGGACACGATGCCTTCACCACTCAAGTGCAGCCCAACCACCGGACCTGGAAATGTGAACAGATTTAGAGAGGGATGTTTTATCTGAACATTTAGGTAATTAATGGGGTGTTGGCATTTACAAACAAAGAAGTTTGTGGGTTTATAAGAGGTTTCAATTATAACAACATGAAGAGAACCGGACTGTTTGTGCAGATATCACTAATCAGTGAAAGAAGACAGAAAACTAGGAATTATGAAAAGCAGGACCAGCAGCAGAAACAGTGCCATGTAACAGCATCAACGGTAGTAGGAGTAGTAGTAGGAGAAGAAGTAGTAGTAGTAGCAGCAGCAGTAGTAGTAGCAACAGCAGCAGAAACAGTGTCAGTAGTAACAGTGCAGCAATTGGAGTAGTAATAGTGGTAGTATCAGTAGTGGTAGCAGCAGGAGTAGTAGTAACAGCAGTATTAGAAGCAGCACCAGCATCAGTGATAGTAGTAGTGGTAGTAGTACTAGTAGTAGCAGCAGCAGCTGCTTAATCATAAGTAGTGACAGTAGTAGACAGAAATAGTAGTAGTTGTAGTACACCGTAGTAGTAGGAATAGTATTTTCGTAACAGTACTTCTTTACATTCCCCAGCTGTAAAGCTCTGGTTGTTCATCCTCTTTTGGACTCTGGTCTTGTTTCAGGAGTTCAGTTCTGTGTGATCCGACTTATTTCTGGGCACACTGTTGGTTCCTCATCTCTCAGGCAGATGCACTCTGACTTCATAGGAATCAGGTAATAGCAGTAGTAGTAATAGTAGTAGTTGCAGCAACAAGAGCAGTAGCAGCAATTGTAATAGTTTACTGCGTACACAATGAACGTTAAAGAATTGTTTCTGCAGCAGGCAAGTCAGTCATGACATAGTTTCTTCATGTCTTCTTCTTCTTCTTTGCGTTCACTGGATGTAAACTCTGGCAGAAAGTTCTAGTTGTTTTTCCACCTCTTGACTTTAGTCTTGTTCCAGAACCTGAGTGTTGTGAGTACATCCAATAAACAGATAACTTAACTATGCAGATTGTTGGTTCCTTGCCTCTCAGGCAGGTACCCTCCAATTTCGAAGGAAGGCCCCAATTAGTCGACTCTTATGACATGATTGTTGTTAAGGCAGTGGGTCTGTTCTTGTTTTTTCTCTAATGAAGCTCCAGACTCCACACTCCGGGAGTTTCTTCATGTTCAATACGCATGCTTTCGCCTTTTAGATCTTAACTAGTTGTTTAATTAATTCCTTCTATTAAAAAAAATTACTTCCCCATAAGTTCCGAGGCTCCGCTTTGAGAGAAAAAGAAAAAACAGACCACTGGACCCTAACAAGCCTGATGTAAAACGTGATTAATGACTAAAGTAAAAGAATCTTTTAAACACCTTCAGGCATGTTTATGTTTTTTTTTTTTAAACAACGGGTCAACATCATGGCACAAGGGTGTTAACTCATAAGTCCTCCGTTCTACTTCTAACTCCAGCCTGATTCCGAAGAATCTCAGCGCAGTGCACAAACTCCGTAGCACCGGCCAGGATCCTGAAATACTTTGGGTAGATTTTTCAACTCCAAATTTTGCCAGGGCAGTGCCGTTAGGCTACTCTTTTTGATTTCCAAATGCTAAGGGGTTTTACATGCGCAACAAAACACACTGGCGTCCGATCTCACTACCCAGAGACCAGAGGAAATTACTAGAAGCCCATGCGAAAAAATCCCAGCCTTTATCAGGGCCTGAACCCGGGACCTCTAGCATTTGAGCGGATGCCATGCCTCAATACCATTCAGCCCCTTAACCCCCCCCCCCCCTTTTTAAGCATATATTCTAGTGAAAAGGAGTAAAATTTAATAGAATGGACATGTAATAAGATCTAACGGTCTCTCAAAAACAATACTGCAGGGCTCAGTAGAGGGAAAGAGGAGAAGAAGCAGACCAAGAAAGACCTGGTTACAGAACCTGACTGACTGGACAGGCCTCAGGCATGCAATTATGAAGTCCATCGTAACTGACCACCAAAGGTGGTGAGAGCTGATCAGACAGTCAACAGAAACATGTGACCCAACATCACGCAATGTTATGGGATGATGATGATGATGATGATGATGACCTTTAGATCCGCAGGCGAGCGCCTAATTGCCGTAAAAAAAAAAAACAAGTACTGAAATGGGCAACAAATGGACTGAGGTAGCGAGGATGTACGAGAGAAACCCTAGAGAGATTGCTGATGCTGATGAGAGGCCAAAGGTGCAGGATTAAACTATTTGTCTGGTATGTGTTGTCTACCTTGTCGTGTAGCATTAGCATAAGAATGGGATCCGAACACCCGCCCTGCATCATCTGGACCCATGCTGACTTCCTTGCTCTGCACCAGAATACAATCAGGCTGTTTCCAGAAAACAATCAACACAATATTATTTTTCAACAATTCTTGGCACAAACTAAAAAGGGAACAAAACAACTAACAATTGGGAACAGAGGTAAATTCTTTTGAGAAAATTAGAAGAAAAAATGTAAGATAACTTAAAATTTAGTTTAGTATCATTGTTATGTACTGTGCTGACAAGTGTAGGTGATCACAGCTCCTCATTTAAAGTCTCTGATCAGCTGTTTGTTTATTTTCTAGTTTAAACTGGACTCTGGTCAAAATAGCCTAGTGACACTCAAAAGTTATTGTTTCAAGCCAGGTTCTGCAAGTGCAATACAGGCTGCAATTCTGGTGTGGGATATTAGTTTTAGCATCTCTGACAGCTTGCCTTATGCATTTATACTTTGCGCATGCAAGACTATGCTTGGACTGACAAGTTTTTGTGGGGTTTTCAAATGGAACAGTGAACTGACATTTTGAGTAATTTCTGCTGGCATAGGAACAGAGCAATTATGGGGCAACCGATCTGCAGTGATGTTCGAATCTCGACTAACTAACTAAATTATTTTTCAGTTATGCCGTTTGCTTAAGCTAGCAATGAATTTCTCTCTCTCTGTCAACCTCTTGCTCCTTTTTCTAATGAAGTCTGCCAGTTGTCACAAAATTTCTGTGTTTATTTCTGCTCAAAGAATTCTGTCTACTTCAGAGTCCTGTAATCAATCTGATGCTTTCCTCTACTTTTATTTTTTTTCCTGTTCGAATATAGGCAACTACAAGACATGGAGAAATGCAGTTCTTTCGTCATGTGATTAGAAGAGAGGCAACTAGAGTAGATAGTCTTTTTATTCCCTTCCTATTTTACTGCTTTGGGTGTCAAGGGAAATATAAGTTTCTGCTTTTTTGCTTTTCTGGATACTTCGACCACTGTTGTAGTTGCTATGGTGTTATCTATTTTGTTCTTACTCTACTCTGCACTCTACATCCTTGTCCCCTTTTTGCTCTTCTGGCCACTTCGACCACTGATATAGTTGCTATGGTGTTATCTATCTTGTGCTTGGTCTACCTTGCACTCTACATCCTTGTCCCCTTTAGGTTATGTTTTGTATGGTGTGGCACACAGAAGAAACTAATAAAAACTAAAAAGATCAGTGGTAAAAGAAGCAGAGGAGAGAGACAGAGAGAGATGATGCAAAATTGGCATGAAGTTCTTGATCTTGAACACCAAAAACTGAGAACAGACATGAACGTCTGTGCCATCTGGCAAGGGAAAAGAAGATTTTGAATATAAAAAGGAACATTTTCCAACATTAACATATCACAAACTTACAAAAAAGTAATACTAAAGAGTGAGACTTACTTTCCGTGATCGAACTGTTTGTACAAACTTGATGGCCCGCTCTGTGGATCCACCGTCATTAAAGAAGACGATTAGACAGGACTATGAGAAAAAGAATAAAATCAAATACAAGCATTTTCAGAGCCAGCAAGCAAACAGCATGAGAAAAATAACATAATTCATAGGAATCATTGGGGCTAATAACACTCCTAGGCAAGAGAGACATAAAATAAAGGAAGGAGAGAACTAGAAAGAGATGCTTAATCTCAGAGGAATATGGGGCAGTTGCAGATGACAGTAAAAGATAGAACATCTTGATATCAGCTGACTGAGGGTCTGTTCTAAACTTGGGAATAAAGAGAAGAGGAAGAGAAAAACAATATGGTCAAGCACGATGAGAAACAGTAGGAGAAGCAGCAGCAACAGAAGAGGAGGAAGCGGAAGAAGAAGGAGAAGGAGAAGGAAGAAGAAGAAGAAGAAGAAGGAAGAAGAAGAAGAAGAAGAAGAAGAAGAAGAAGAAGTAGAAGAAGAAGAAGAAGAAGCAGCAACAGCAGAAGAAGAAGAAGAAGAAAAAGAAGAAAAAGAAGAAGAAGAAGAAGAAGAAGAAGAAGTAGAAGTAGAAGAAGAAGCAGCAACAGCAGAAGAAGAAGAAGCAGAAGAAGAAGAAGAAGAATGAGAAGAAAAAGTAGAAGAAGAAGAAGCAGAAGAAGAAGAAGAAGAAGAAGTAGAAGAAGAAGCAGCAACAGCAGAAGAAGAAGAAGCAGAAGAAGAAGAAGAAGCAGCAAAAAAAGAAGAAGAAGAAGAAGCTGAAGAAGAAGAAGAAGAAGAAGAAGAAGAAGAAGAAAAAGAAGAAGAAAAAGAAGAAGCAGAAGAAGAAGAAGAAGAAGCAGTAAAGAAGAGAAGCAGAAAAAGAAGAAGCATAAGAAGAAGAAGAAGCAGAAGCAGCTGTAGCAGAAGAAAATACAACGTGAGAATCACCTTTTTAAGGCCAAATGCAGAAGAAAAAAAGAAGAAATGTTACAATTCTAAAGCACTGAGACAGAAAGATTTGAATGAATAACTACCAGTGACAGAAATAGTAAGGGCAAGTTTGCTGACATACCTACCTCTTCATGAACCATTCCTCTCTTGCCCCACGTCTGAGGAACCATGCTGCTCTCACTGTCAACTCTGATCTGCATGGATGAGACTTCTTCTCCTTCTGGCATTGGCACAAAGTCCTCGACCTTGGCCTCCTAGCATTGGACAACAAAGTGTAATCACTTAGTATGCTGGGTACCTCCTGTAGTGGTTTACAACATTAAATCAGAAATCTTTGCAGAAAACTGGAAAATGTGGGTGGGGGGGGGGTGGAGGGGGTAAATAGCATGAGGAGGAACTGAAAAGGAGGATAAAATGTAGGAAGCGACAAGAAAAGTTCAGATTAAACAAATATGAGTAGTAGAGGTGGACAGGGAGAAATTTGCAAGTAGAAACTTTAAACCGTGCTGCAACAAAAAATAATGCAGACAACACTAACTTCCTCACAAGAATGAAAGAAGTAATGAAACTCATGATTGCTGATGTTTGCTTCAGATTCAGGTATAAAAGGATGTAGAGGTGGTGGCAGTGGCAGAGAAGGAGAAGCAGGTGGAAAAGAAGATGATGTTGATGATGAAGAAGAAGAAGAGAATGATGAGAAAGATGATGATGATGATGAGGAGGAGAAAGATAAAGAAGAAGATAATGATGAATAAGAAAGATGATAATGATGACGATGAAGACAATGATGATGATGATGAAGAAGAAGAAGATGATGATGATGATGAAAATGATGAAGAGGAAACAGAACAACAACAGTAAGACAACAAGACTTACACATCAACGATAATAAAAAGCAACTAAACTGGCAAAGAAAATGATGTAGAAAACAAACAGTGGTGAAACTTACTGGAGGAAGATATGAGAAGTTTTTGTCTCCATCAGGCACTGGAGTAAAGTCATGTATATTTGACCAGTTGTTATTGAAGATGCTCAAACCAGCTGACCGGAACTGATCTGCAGATAATCAGCAACTATAATAAGAACAAACATCCAAACATGGAGCTATGGTGACGCAGTGAATAGCACATTAGCTTACCAGCACAGTAATGTGGGTTCAATCCATAACTTACCTTCTTACTCTTCTTCTTTACCACAGCAAACCATTGAGTTTATTGTGTTCTCTGAATAGTAAGAAGATTGGACGCCCGTGTGTATTGCTGTGTATGTAACAACAACAAATCCCTTGCCAGTTAGAAATCAAAAAAGAGTAGCCTAACGGTGCTGCCTGGGCAAAATTTGGAGTTTAAAAATGTACCCAAAGTATTTCAGGATCCTCGCCGGTGCTACAGAGTTCATGCACTGAGCTGAGATTCATCGGACTCAGACTTGAGTTAATAGTAAAACGGAGCACATATGGGTTACTACCCTTGTGCTGTGATGTTGATCCGTCGTTTAAACTTAAACCTAAATATTACCCACCTCAATTCACCTCTCTGCTTGGCCTTCTCTTTTGGAGATCCACTGCAGTCAATCTTTATTGTAGAGTTAGCACCTGGTTAATAATGATGATGATGATGATGACCCCCCCAGAGCCGTACTAATAAGAAAAATAATCCTGCCATAACTAGTGGCTGAATCCGCATCATTTTCTGGCAGGCATATAGACTAATCCATAAGCTATGCTACCATCATTAACCTGCTCGTGGGACTCCCGAGTTTTGTCTTTGGTAAATAATCACGCAAGTGAGCGGTGGGAAGATGAGAAAAGAGGCACTACACTACATAGGAGAGGTTCAACAACTTTAAGAGCATGAATGGCAAATGAAGTTACTCTAATCCTGGAATGAAACGTGAACAGCACCAAATTTTCTTTTCATGTTAGTTAGTTTAGCTAGTTAGCTACAAGCTAGTTAGTTAGTCGGGTTATCATCGTTGCACTCCAGACATGTCTATAGGTGCTCAGATCCTCCCCTCAGTTTGACCCCCATGTCCAGCAGCTAATAGTACCAGTTCTATGTTGGTTAACAAGTCCTCTGATGTGCCTGGTGTGCGTCTCATTTTTTTACTATGCTGATCTTAACTCCCAAGTCTATCATCCTGGCGAGTGATGTGGATTCACTGCCCTCAAAGTCCTCCAACCTTCTCATTTCTCGGAGGGCATTAATGATATCAGCATGATGACGATGATGATTTCTTTAATGTATTAGTGACCTGTCGGCTCTGTGGCTAAGTCGATGCGAACGCTTCTTAATGCCAGGATACCGGGTTCGATCCCAGCTGCTGGCCATGCTCCTTGCGTTGGTTTCGACAGTGGCATCAAGAAAGCCGACCGTCCAGAAAGCAATGGCAGACTAATGGACGTAAATTTGCCTAGAAAAACCACACAACAGCCGGGGTCTGTTGGGGTTGGTTCTGCAAAGTCCTGTAAAGGATACGCAACTAACCTAATTAGTGACCTATGTAAAATTGTTGTTTCAAAGAATTTCTTTGAGAATCCTTACAGGGTCATGACTCACTTATTTTAATTTTTTTGTTTGTTAAATGTTGCTGGGGTGAAAGGATTAAATCTTCAAGCAAATGAACTCCTGTCATTCACCTCCCCAAATATGGTAAATTCACACAATAAAAACAGTTCTTGTTTAATTTGTTCAACATATTAAAAGTCTCTAGAATGAGAGGGTTTGCTTACGCTCAAGTTGCTGATAGTAATATCTAAAGCAGGCAAATCTCATGCGACTAGAAGATTCAATGATGGGCTGGGTTCCGCACAGGAGGAAGGTGTCTATCTGGAAGCAGTCCCGGGTTCGAAACTGCTGGCAGGCAACGACCACTCTGCACTGTTTACAGTCTCTGATGAAGACACTGAGATAAAGTAGAACATATAGAATTGTTTGAAGTCTGTGATGAATATGCTGAGATAAAGTAAAACATAGAATTGTTTGAAGTCTGTGATGAATATGCTGAGATAAAGTAGAACATATAGAAATGTTTGAAGTCTGTGATGAATATGCTGAGATAAAGTAGAACATACAGAAATGTTTAAAGTCTGTGATGAATATGCTGAGATAAAGTAGAACATATAGAAATGTTTGAAGTCTGTGATGAATATGCTGAGATAAAGTAAAACATATAGAAATGTTTCAAGTCTGTGATGAATATGCTGAAAAAAAGTAGAACATACAGAACTGTTTAACCCTACCCGACCGCTGGCCTGGTTTACTGGGGATTTCTCAACATGTCTCTATACCGCTGGCCCTAATTTTTGACTTTTTGCGTAGTACGGGAAAATGATGCGTCACGGACTAAAAATAACCACCCAATCATTATCAATCCTCTTTGTTAGATATTGCAAATGTCTGCCCGCATGTGTTTGGATTATATTTGTGTTGTTTTATGTGGAAAAATTCTGAAAATTCACATTGAAACGAGCAGTTGATGAACCAAGTTCTAGGCTTTTCACAGTCCAACAGGTGATCGATACTTTTGTTTATTCAGACTCTGTGATATATATATATATATATATATATATATATATATATATATATTTCATTATCTGTGATAATTTCATAAAGAATATGTTCTTGAAGTGACACTGTCAGTAAGAGCGCGAATGATGAGGAAAAATCTTGAAAATTATCAATCTTGAAATAGATCGATAGTAGGAGGAGGGAGTGTGTCCATCAAACGGCAACATCTGGTGTTCACTTTGTGAAACAAAGTTGATCCTGATGAGTCAATTCGCACACAAAGGTGGAATATTAGCACAAGTTAAAAGGTAAGCCTATTTTCTACAATGTCTCCAAGTTTCATCATATTCTAGCCACTCGTTTGCATGTAACTAATATTTTTGTATATCATGTTGGTTTTTTCGTGGTAATGCCCAGGAGCTCAGGTCTGGTAGGGTTAAAGTCTGTGATGAACATGCTGAGATAAAGTAGAACATACAGAACTGTTTAAAGTGTGATGAACGTGCTGAGATAAAGTAGAACATACAGAACTGTTTGAAGTGTGATGAACATGCTGAGATAAAGTAGAACATACAGAACTGTTTAAAGTGTGATGAACGTGCTGAGATAAAGTAGAACATGCAGTACTGTTTGAAGTCTGTAATTAACATGCTGAGATAAAGTAGAACATACAGAACTGTTTAAAGTGTGATGAACATGCTGAGATAAAGCAGAACACAGAACTGTTTAAAGTGTGATGAACATGGTGAGATAAAGTAGAACATACAGAACTGTTTACAGTGTGATGAACATGCTGAGTTAAAGTAGAACATATAGAACTGTTTAAAGTGTGATGAACATGCTGAGATAAAGTAGAACATACAGAACTGTTTGAAGTGTGATGAACATGCTGAGATAAAGTAGAACATACAGAACTGTTTAAAGTGTGATGAACGTGCTGAGATAAAGTAGAACATACAGAACTGCTTAAAGTCTGTGATGAACGTGCTGAGATAAAGTAGAACATACATAACTGTTTAAAGTTTGTGATGAACGTACTGAGATAAAGTAGAACATACAGAACTGTTTAGAGTCTGTGTGAACATGCTGAGATAAAGTAGAACATACAGAACTGTTTAAAGTCTGTGATAAACATGCTGAGATAAAGTAGAACATACATAACTGTTTAAAGTCTGTGATGAACTCGCTGAGATAAAGTAGAACATATAGAACTGTTTAAAGTCTGTGACAAACATGCTGAGATAAAGTAGAACATACAGAACTGTTTAAAGTCTGTGATGAACGTGCTGAGATAAAGTAGAACATACAGAACTGTTTAAAGCACATTTTAAACTGTATAGTCCCTAATGAACACACTGAGATTAAGTAGAACCTTTTAACTATAGGTCTTTGTTGAACAAATTGAAGTAAAGCTTTAAAAAAAATCTCATCTGAAACTGTGATATGCATCATCGCCATTTACAGTCTTTTGTCCATCAACAATGTTGCACCCCATATTCTTTATTGGCCCTCTCTTCATCTCATGTCAAATGTTTTTAGGTGTGGCCCCTATACTGGTAGTTTTTGTGGCAGGGTTCAAACAAGATGACTAAACCATTTATCACCTGCTTCTCAATTCGCACAGCTGTTAATTTTATGTAGACAAGCTGACCTTCTTCTTCATCAGTCTCTGGTCATGCACTTAATCTTCTTTGGACCACACATTAGGATGTCACCTTGAGGTCTTTTAAGATTCCGCAAAGCTTTGTTGTCAGGTCTACTGGATGTGGACACATGTTGCTAAGCAGCTCTTCCAAGTCAGGACAGTCTAGCAGGACATATTCTGGAGTCTGTTCAGCACAGAGACACTAGCAGAGAGCTGACCCATACCTAAATTATATAAGTGTTCATTAATTCTACCATATCTGGTCTGTAAGTGAACAAGCTGACAGAACTTGAAGACAGGACATATTCTGGAGTCTGTTCAGCACAGAGACACTAGCAGAGAGCTGACCCATACCTAAATTATTTAAGTGTTCATTAATTCTACCATATCTGGTCTGTAAGCGAACAAGCTGACAGAACTTGAAGACAGGACATGTTCTGGAGTCTGTTCAGCACAGAGACACTAGCAGATAGCTGTCTGACCCATACCTAAATTATTTAAGTGTTCATTAATTCTACCATATCTGGTCTGTAAGTGAACAAGCTGACAGAACTTGAAGACAGGACATGTTCTGGAGTCTGTTCAGCACAGAGACACTAGCAGAGAGCTGACCCATACCTAAATTATATAAGTGTTCATTAATTCTACCATATCTGGTCTGTAAGTGAACAAGCTGACAGAACTTGAAGACAGGACATATTCTGGAGTCTGTTCAGCACAGAGACACTAGCAGAGAGCTGACCCATACCTAAATTATATAAGTGTTCATTAATTCTACCATATCTGGTCTGTAAGCGAACAAGCTGACAGAACTTGAAGACAGGACATGTTCTGGAGTCTGTTCAGCACAGAGACACTAGCAGATAGCTGTCTGACCCATACCTAAATTATTTAAGTGTTCATTAATTCTACCATATCTGGTCTGTAAGCGAACAAGCTGACAGAACTTGAAGACAGGACATGTTCTGGAGTCTGTTCAGCACAGAGACACTAGCAGAGAGCTGACCCATACCTAAATTATTTAAGCGTTCTTTAATTCTACAATATCTGGTCTGTAAGCGAACAAGATGACAAAACCTGAAGACAAGTGAAACTTCAACTTCACCAGTTGCTACTCGAGACAACTTACAACTGTGATAAATCAAGAAATTCTGTAGGAATTCAACAGAACATATAACTTGAGTCAACTTGCAATTCTGATAAATCAAGAAATTCTGCAGGAATGAAAACAGCATGAAGGAAGTGACAGAGAAAAATAACCAACCTTGTTTTGATTGGTCCGAGAAAAATATTACAGTTGATGCAATCATCTACACTGACTGTTGCTATGTGGTCGAATATGTAGATACTAGAATCCTGCAAATATAATAATAATAATAATAATAATAATAATAATGTTTCTGCACACATTTTTAAACAAAGTGTCACAAACAACAGATTGCACAATTCATATTTAATTAGTTTACAGTAAGGATGAGGCAAGGAAAATATACCTGACAATAAATTGTGCAATCTGTTGTTACTGTCTTCTTTGTTTAAAAAAAATAATAATAATAACGATTATAATAATAACGGAACCCAAGTCACAGTTTAACACTCTTGACATACTTAACAACAATACCGACAGGTTTCAAGACAATGGTAGGATTACTGAATAATCTGTCAGCTGTAATGTTTTCATGTGAAGCTCCCTTGTAATAATAGGTGCCATTATAGCATATCAGCTAGATGCTAACCTGCCAGCCCGAAGATCTTGAGTTCAAATCTGCATTGGGCAGATCTGAGGAAAAAATTTACTTTGGCTCTAGGTTGTCCCAGTCGGCTCTGTGGCTAAGCTGATACGAACGCATCGTAATGCTGAGATGCCGGGTTCGATCTCCCATGCGGGCCATGCGCCTTGCGTTGGTTTCGACAGTGGTATAAAGAAAGCCAACCGTCCAGAAAGCAATGGCAAACTACTGGATGTAAATTTGCCTAGAAAAACCACACATTGGGGTTGGTTCTGCAACGTCCTGTAAAGGATACGCAACTAACCTAACCAGGTTGTCCCAACATGAAATGAGTACAAGGAAATGTCCTGGGAAGTAAAAGGTTGCCAGCATGATGACGATGACATCACCTATTAAGCATAAGTGCATATCTATGCACATCATAGCGTAGCAGTGCAGAACCTCACTCTCTTCACAGTCTGTCTGAAAGAAACTAGGTCTCTCATCAGCTCTCTCGCCTCATGTACTTTCATACCCATGGAGTCACTTGTATCATGTGCCCATCTTCGTGTTGGTTTGCCCCTGCCGTTCCTTCCCAGTACCATGCATTCTGTTATTAGTTTTTCCACTCCGTCATGGTGATTGATATGACCAAAATTTCATTAATTCTGACACAGGATGCTGTTTATAAGCCAATCTTCCTCCATGTTCATATTTTTTTTAAATGTCAGTATTGCTCTACTTTTGTGTCCTTGGTTTTTTTGGGAATCTTTCTATGACATTTCAGCTCAAAAGCCCCTATTTTGTTCCTTAAGAACTTAGAGATAGTCCACAACTCACATCCGTATGTTGCTACAGAGAAGATGCAAGTTCTCAAAATTGTAAATTTGATTACCCACAGATTTTTAATGCTGTTTAAGCTTTGTATTGCTATGGCCATCCTCTTAATTGCTGTTTTTTTCTTCTTCTTTTGTTCGCTTTAAATAGATTATCTATATCTGCAATGTTTTTTCTTTAGTATGAACTTCACTGTCTTCTGTAATTCAATGCTGTTTATTATGGAGCCTAGATATTCAGAGATTGTGACATTTTCAATTTTTAATCATTTATTGTTATTTTTGGATGACAGCCAGTTTTCCCTGTGGACACTAATTTTTTTCTGATCTTCACTGTGTTGTTGGAAACACATATTTGAATTTAAATGACATTGAGTTGTCTGCATTATTTAAACTCATTACAGGAAAACATTGTTTCGCACATATTTGAATGTTTTATTTCATTTAGACTGTTCGAAAGCAGGACAGTTTCATCTGCTTAGTGAAGTTCCAAAATAGGGTTGTCTCCAATTATGAGTGGTGTATAACTGTTAAAGGTCTGGTGACTTTTGACATTTCTCATTATGTTTTCTGTATATATTTCAAATAGGTATAGTGAAACCCCTGCCTAACTCCCTTTTACACTTCAGACCAGTCTATGCACAACTGGTGTAAAAAGGGATCACTGTAAACTTGATAAACTTAACCTGTGAGTTGTACAAAAATTACTGACCTGACAGTTCTGTATAACAATCTGCTCCCCGTTGACTGTCCCAGCATGCTTCACTACTGTTTCACCTTTCTTTCCGTCTATGATGAAATCTTGAACATTAACTCTCTCTCTTTTGTCCCTAGGGAAAAGAAAAGCGTATGCTTCAACTAAAGTAATGGTCCCAGCAACAAGAGTTCACTGTTTTTAGTTGTAATGTGTCACCAGCTGCAAAACTCTGGCACAAAGTACTGGCTGCTCATCCATTTCTGGACTTTGACTCTGCTCCAGGATCTGAGTTTTGTGTGTGCATTCATTATACAGATTTAGCTTATTTGTGTGCAGACCGTCGGTTCCTCACTTCTCAGGCAAATGCATTCTGACTTTGAAGTAACACCCCGAATAAGTCGCCTTTTACAACATGTTTGTTTGGGGGGAGAAGGAGGTGGGGGGGGGGGGGGTCTAATGCCTTTTCGCCCAAAATGGGGTGCTGGAAGCCATACAGGAAATACCAATAGTAATATTACAATCATAAAGTTAACTATCAGCAGCTGTCGTAATAACAGCGATCTTTAGTGTTAATACAACCAAAGTCATATATAGATGTCAGTGCACTGGTTTTAATAGCATTATGGGCCACTAGACAAAGCAGTGCCCCGAGTGTTGCCTTCACAATCATTTGCAGCAATAAAAATGTAAATTATATATAAGATAGAACAGTGTTTAGCAGTTACCCCCCCCCCCCCTCTCCTCCCCCCCCCCCCCCACCCTACACCTTCCTCAAGCAACTAACTGCCCAACATGTCTAGAGATACAAACAGGCATAAACAGATAACTGGAGAATCCTTGAGGCCACAGAAACAACATAACAATTAAATGAACATGTACTAATTGGATCTCAAGGGAAGAAAGAAAGCTGGCATCTTCTTCTTCGTATTCACCTGCTGTAAACTCTAGTGGAAGTTTATGGTTGTTCTTCACCTTCTGGATCCTAGTCCTGTTCCAGCTCCTGGGTACTGTGAGCACATCCATAAATATCTTTATTTAAATATCTGGTGCATGTGAATGCAGCCCGTTGGTTCCTTAGCTCAGGCCAGATGCACTCTTGATTTTAAAGGAAGCTCCCAATAAGCTGTTTCTTATGACATGCTTTTGGGTAGGAAGTGAGTAATTCCCCCCTTCCCCCCCCCCCTAACAATGGGACCTTGGAACCCACAGGGGAAGAATGATGGGAAGACAGACTTCTCATAGTCCAAGCAGTGTGGCTTTAGTAGTCATGTCGATCCACAACCTTCTGTCTCCTTTGCTTTCTGTAAATTCTGACTTAGATGATCTGCCATGCCATTATGTTATACTGTCCAGCATCTTCTCTCTGGGTCTCCTGTCGCCTCTTTTTCCCTCCGAATTTCCCACCGTCACGATGTACTAGTCTTTGGTTCTTTTCTGTTAAGTCACCACATCATGCAAGATTTATGGAAATCCCATAATATAAAGGGGGTGGAAGGGTTAAGGGTTAAAGCTAGTGTTTAATGAATTACCCCCCCTCCCCCCCCCCCCCCACGCTTTTTTTTAAATTTTATTTAATGGGATTTCCATAAATGTCGCGTGATGGGGTGACTTCACAGAAAAGAACCAGTTAGTTTCTTTCAAGACATCTTCATAACTCATCCATGGTTATCTCATTATTCGTCTAAACTTCACCCCTACCGCTTCAGAATAATTTGTCGACAACCGACCCTGACTGGATAAACAAAGCAGGAGTTATGCTTATGGAAGTAGAAGGAAAACTGTTGGTTCAAACCGAGTTCTGTCCATGCCCTACCTAGTACCTAGCAACCCTCTTCTTATGCCGTCGTAACTCACAGTGTACTAAATAAATTAGGATGCATTGATAGGCTCTAATAGAAAGAAGTAGAGATAGTAAAGTAAGGACAGACTAGACAACATACAAAGACGAAAATGTAGTTATAAGTTATGCTTAGCGCCCACAAGAAACGAGCGGCAGCATCAAACATCTTGAAAGAAAACACATAAAACTCACCAAGAATATACCTTTGGCTCCTCGGCAGTTTCTTCTAGCGGCATCTGGCCATTAAACCTTTTCAAACAAGAAAACAAACAGCCCATGATGGGAGAAAGATACAGCCAGTCAAAGACCCGTGGCCCTCCGTCCCGTAGCCGGTGGCTTGTCAAAGCTTGTATAGAAACCAGACCAGGGCTGTCGAAGTTAGTATTTCTTCTTCTTTTTTCGTCTCCCAGATGTTAGGTTTAGAAACGTAGTTTTTCTGTATTTGGCTTGCGCTTTTCGGGTGGTTTGTTGTTGTTGTTGTTGTTGCAGGTTTCAGCTACACCTATAATAACAGATATACACCCAAAATACCAATAGGATGGCATTGTTACAACTATGATGCAGAAGCTCAAGCCATTAAAATAGCAGCAGAGAAACTGCTATATATGTTTTATATTTGCCAACCCGTTGTATTCTTGACAGACGCAAGAGCGGTACTTCAAGCTGCAAAAACACTTTTCAAGCTAGTCAAGCGGTATAAAGTAACTATGCAATGTACGCCATTCCACTTTTCTCTTTTGACCAAGAGAAACATTGGTGCAAGTCAAACTTTACGGGTCACTGATTGAATTACAACAGACATTGAAGTTTATACTAGAGGCAGCCTTGCAGATATAGATAATCTAATGCAAGAAAACGGAAAAAGAAGAGAAAGAAAAAAAAAGTTATATTTTCACCCGTACTGGGCAAAACTACTTCTGGTACCAAGCCCGATGTTTTGGAACCGATTTGATATTGTCTCTGCTTAATAACTTAAGGATTTTAAAAATCGCTCATCTGTAAGGACTAACAAAAAAAGTACATTGGTGATTGGTGACATCAAGGACATTGCTTCATGGACATCAATTACACCAGTTGGAAGCTACCACAGCGGCCCTGTAATAAACTTAGCGGGGGGGGAGAACAATTATGTAATGAACAGGGAAGTTCACTTCTGATCATATTTAAGATCCTTCAGTATATGTGTGTGTTTGTTTGTTTGTTTGCGTGTATGTGTGTGTGTGTGTGTGTGTGTTTAAAGACTTTTAAACTGTTTGTATTTAAAAATAAAAGATATAGTACCTTCTACTGTTGAGTCCCTTAAAATGGTTCTATTTCCGAGACAATTTCAGCAGCCCTGAACTAGACGATCTCTGTCACTGTCCTGCACTCACTGAAATACACGGCCACCATTGGTTAGAAATATGCTGGTCGTGAGTGCTCATCATCATCATGAGATAGGTAATGCAGAGGTTGCGTAATTGTTGTCCACATTGCTACACATTGGACATGGGAGGTGGGGGGATGTGTAATGGAACCTGGAAAGAGGGTTTCAGGGGCTTATTGACTTGGACCTCTTCCTCTAAACAAATTTGTTACGAAAGTACGTTGCGCCCAACTCTGCAAACAAGTTACATTTTTAAGTCGTTGTTCATACATGCTATTATCATTTTAAATATATCTTTTTTTTTTTTTTTTACATTAGTCACATTATTATTATTATTATTATTATTATTATTATTATTATTATTATTAATATTATTATTATTATTAAGCACTTTTTAAGACTTAAGCCCCTTGGGGCCAAATCATTTAGAAAATTTGTTATATTTGCCTGAAATAAATATAAATGAAAGAAAAATAAAACAATCTGAGATATGTTGATGACACAGTGCTACTAGCAGAAAGCGAGCACAAGTTACAAAACTAGTGGATAACGTCTACAGGGGGGGTGCAAAATTTACGGTTTAGACATTAGCATGGTAAGAAGAAATGGGAAAGGGCGACCAACAGTGAATACCACAGTTAACGGAGAGATACTAGAATAGGTAACAAGTTTTTTCCTATCTAGGTCACGTAGTGATAGATTATGAGAGAAGTGAAACATAAAGAAAAGGAATGGGCAAGATTATCTTCAATAGTGTACCAGGCTGGTAGAGCAAGTAGTCTGTTAATAATTTTGGTTCGGCTGCGCTATCAAGAAAATGATCTTCTGCGATGTTCGGTTTTGATCTCCAAATCCAGTAAAGTCAAGACTTCAAGAGCTCGTAAGTCTTTCAAGTATGAGCGGACAAACACTCTTTTTGGATGCCTCCGACAGAGGGCACGGAAAAGGAATGTCCGATCCACTTTTTTTGCAGCCTCCATGTTGAAAATCAGATGTAGATCAGACGTGGAAGTTAAAGAGAGCTGCAGTAAAGCGACTAAAGAAATTGCGACAAACATCCCTAAGCACGCAGAAGGAATTGGAGTGCGCGAAAAGAGATAAGAAAGAGGTTTCCAATCGTTGTGCAGCAGAGGCCAAAAAAGAAAAATAGAACCATTTTTTAGTTAAATTGGGGGCGTTAAGACTTTGGAAAAATTGTTGGATGCTACATAGGCAGATGCTCAAGAAAGATCGACCTAGATTAGTGGGTACAGTTAATAGAGACACGGCTTGCTATTGACCACAGACAAAGAGAAAGGGGAGGCTTTCCTGAAGAGGCTCATTTCACAGACGCTTGTCTTTCAAGGATCACACAGATGTGATTTTGTAAAAGGCCCAAATAGGTGTTAATGCCCTAAAGGTTATGGCAGCAATGGAAATAGAGCAGAAAATTCTGTTCACACTTTCCCAGCACTTAATCATCTCAGTGATTGATTTTAGTACTGTCTCGAAGAGTCAACTAGTGAAACTGAAGTGCATGCAGAATGAAGCTATGTGGGTGATCCTGGGATGTACAAGAGACACTCCGATTGTGTGCATGCGGTACATCCGTGCATTATCGACTATTGCAGGTAGGCTAAAGGTGCTGCATGCTGTCATACCTCGGAGTAGCTGCAGATAAAAGCACCCTCTGTTTGAAGCTTTGGATGCAGAAGAGGTTGAAAAGGTAAAAAATCATGGATGGTTCAAGCAGAAGATACAGTAAGACAAGTATGCATGCTGAAGAACATTTTGCGAGGAGAGGGGTGGGTTCAGAGTACAAGAGGAAAAGTTTGACCTGTGTAGAGTCATGATCACATTAGGCCATGGAGTGCAGGGAGTGGTTAGCTGGGGCAACGGAGGTTGAAGTCCAACAATTGATTCACGACAATTCTCGTCCTGATGATCTGATTAATTACACAGTTGGTTCTGTAAAGAGAAGGAAGAGAAGTGCCTGGGGGTTCGTAGCGAAAGCCAATGGAAAATCTTTATTGCAGGACAGCTTAGCATATGATACCACAACATCTAGCATGAGAATGGAGGTGGAGGCGGTCACTTCAGCTTGAAGTATTTACATCTCAAGGATAAAAAACAACAGTTGCAATTCTTGAAACCCCATTCAACCGTATAGCCCCATTGACATAGTTGTTCTTAGACACCATGAAACGACAACGACCTGCATATAACCTGTAGTATTGTGTGGGTGGTTTGAATGACATGTGCAGTCTAATAGTCCTTATTACGCCAGTAGTTAGTATTAATTCAAACATTAGAAATCTTATTGTTGCTTCTCTCAATTCTCCGTCAGGGGGCTGCATGGTGTCGAGGCATAGTGTCCGCCTTGGGTGCTAGAGGTTCCTGGATCAATCCCCGGTAAGAGCTGGGATTTTTTCAGGCGGACTTGGACTTATAGTAAATTCTCTCGGTCTCTGGGTAGTGGGACCGGACGCCCGTGTGCATTGTTGCGTACGTAAACAATCCATTGGCAGTTGGAAATCGAAAAGAATCGCTGCCCGGGTAAAATTATTAGTAAAAAATCTACCCAAAGTATTTCAGGATCCTCGCCGTTGCTACAGAGTTCATGCACTGTGCTGAGCTTCTTTGGACTCAAGACTTGAGTTAGAAGTAGAACTGAGCACTTATGAGTTACACCCATGTGCCATGATGTTGATCCGTTGTTCAAAACCTCAAACTTCAAAATCTCCATCCTCCGTCGTTTGCGTATCTGAGTGGTCTAAAGCCTCAACAATGATAAATGTTTCAAGTCTGGTTTCTAGAAAAAATATATTCTTTATAATCTGGAAACTGATTATTAGAGTTGCATAACGATTGTCAGTAAAGCCCAAAAACAGAAGTCTTGGATTTCCTGACAGCCGTCAACTTATCATGGATGACATAAATGTTAACATTACAACTGTTAACATTACATATTGTTATTTAAAAAGTATCATGCACTCTTCTTTGTTTGACACACAGTTTTGAAACACACACAACAGAGACTTCGGAACTATGATTGCGTAGTGGTTAGACGAGGGAAGGTCAGTTCGAAACTCCTGGGTTTGTTTTTCGTTTGTTTTTTAGGCCAGGTGTATCTCGGAAGCAACCGAGCCAGTTCGCATTTATTTTCTACTAAACTTTCTTTCGGACTACCATTTATACTTTTAGAATTTTGAGTGTTTTACTTTGTCAAAAGTGCTGAAAACAGCTTTTTTTGGGTTTGGATATATCCGAAATTGTGAAAATAACAATAGCGGTCTTATGAATGTCCACTTCGGCTGTCGTCGTAGGCTCCAACTTAACCTAACGGTTGAACGGGGCTGTTGGGACTTGTTCATTGAAAATATAATTTGGGGGAGGGGGGCTTCATCTAAATGGTGGTGCCTTGTGTCACTGAGTCGGCTCTGTGGCTAAGTTAATGCCGGGGTGCCGGGTTCGATCCCAGCTGCGGGCCATGCGCCTTGCGTTGGTTCCGACAGTGGTATCAGGGTGCCCACCGTCCAGCAGGCATTGGCAAACTACTGGACGTAAATTTGACCAGAGAGACCAGACAACAGCCAGCGGCTGCTGGGGTTGGTCCTGCAACGTCCTGTAAAGGATATGCAACTAACCTTTTTTTGTGTCACCGGGTTCCTTTGGCTCTGTGTCATCCTGGTGGGGTTAAAGGTCAGGTAAAATGGATCGACTACTTTCTTACTGCGATAGGAACACTGCAAGTCAGAAAATGTTAGGCAAAACTAATTGGAATTACTGCACTTATATGTATAGGATTTTCTGGCATCATAATCTTAGCAACCGGATATAATATTACGCCCTACGCTCTCCCTAAGTGAGGTAACTTTCTAACGGTCGGGAGCCCCAGTATAATGTTTATTCAAGGGATCAACATCATGGCAT